TGGCTTGTGGAAAAAGCAGATCATTACTTTTACTATTCCTACGGGTATTGGCCAATAATCACCTCATAGGAATGAGCAGCAATGTCACAAGAAAGCTGGTCTTTTGTACCTCATTTTCCCTTTGTGACCATACATATGCTCTCTTGGGGTAGTCACGGTTTAATGCAGGTGATTCTTAATCATAATTCATTATAGTCTTCATAATGGTTCTCACTATCTCTATTTGATAAATTAATAAGCATTGCCTCTGATTTTAACATGAGGTAATTTCTGAATAGCATGACAGTGGGTAAAATAGGCTGGCTACAGACATTCTACCTTTTAAGATAACTGAATCTAACTCTCTGGTATCCATCTAGCAATTTTGCTCAAGAAGGCTCCTTCATGGATATTCTGAACTCTGCAGAACATGCTTGAAATCACACACTTCAACAAAACTGTGAAACTCCTAGCAAGCCAATTGCAATCCACTGGGCATAATAATCCAGAATCAAAATTATTTTTTTTCTGTAGCATAAACACACAGTTTGGCCAACTGGGTCTATGAGTCTGGGAGTTTCTTTGGCATTTCTATTTCAGCTATTGAACTGCTGATTTTGTTCTACCTTTTGCCATGAAATTTTTTCATTATAATACCGTCATTGTTTAACACTACCATTTTTACCTTGTTTTCTCTATGGTATTTGCCTACTTGCAGGAAGTCTTTCTTTTCTTCCATTACCATTTCTACATATCCATTTAGTACTGCTTTTCCTTTTGCAATTGGTTTACTCTCTGTCTTCCTGGAATCCTATTCTTTTTATAAATATCCTCCCTCAGCGAGATGAACTGCCTAGTGAGTATTAAACCTTCAGTATAACCTTCATTTCCTGACAAAATAATGTAAAAATCCATAGATTATGAGAGTGTTTACCAGTCCAATAACTACTTTGCTCAATCTCAGGCAGCTACAGGAGATAAAAGAAACCTAGGGGCTCTTACCCTACAGTAGTAAGAAAAATAATGCTTTTTGCTCTTAACCCATTTTTACTCTTTACTTGCCTTCATAGAGAAAAAAAAAAAATCTTCCTCATTCTCGTCTATTTGCTTGCTATGTTTGGTAGACTTTGGCTGTGGTGTTTCTAGCTGTAATGCTGTGACACTTTTGTTTCTTACATTTGTGTTACTTGATGCATTCCTCTACTGCTGGTACCTGGTACTCTAAAGAATCTTTTTAGTATTAAAAACTTAGACCAGAGTACTTATGATAGCTACAAGGAAGCTAACAGATAGGCAAGGAAGGTGTTTGGCAGGGGGGAGAGACCATGAGATTTGAACTTACGCTCTCATGCACCAAGACAACAGAATAACCACTGAGCTAAAGGGGAGTACCAAAACAGAAGAGAAGGGAAAAGGTCTGTATGAAAGGCAAGTGGAGGAGATCCATCTTAGGCGGCTCCACCAGCCTTTTAAAAGAGCAAACATGCAGCCCAAATGCATAGTCACTCCAAAACTGAGGTGCATAAATCCAAAATTGTGATTTGAAAAAAACCCTCTTGTTCAGGGAGGACTTAAAAAATTAGTTCCTTGTTTGCCTTACATTTTAAGCATCCAGAACTTCTCAGTATAAAGAGGCCTCTGCAAGAAGGCTCTGATGCAGCTGGGAGGCTATGATCACATTTGATGTATGCATTCAGAGCTGGGCTCCTCTAGGAAATACAGGAGGAGCAAGAACATTTTTTTTTCTTTTTACAATATCACTTACTTATACAGTATATAAAGCAATGTTAATACTTCCCAGTTAAACCACTGGGCATGTTAACTGATGTATCCAATAAACTGTAGCACTGTGATCAGTTCTGTCCTCTGTATCTCTTTCTGCTCAAAATAAATTAAGAGAAAATGTCAAGCAGGAATAAGAGAAAAAGCCTTGGAGAAGGCATTATTAAACTCCATACAAAATATTTATCTAATATAAAGGTGAAAGTTCACTAAAACTAGTCAATAGCAAAATAAGAATATACTCCACAATACTTGAATCTCAATTCTTTGTTCACTGTGCTTGCAGATAAAGAAACCTTTCCATTTCTGGGAACATCTGTCATAACCTCCAAGGCCCACTGAGCATATCTGAAAGGTCTTTCACATTTTTTCCTCCCTCAGCAAGAATGTTTTAACTTGAAAGAAATCTAAAAGTAAAATACACTAAAAAGTGGTCAGTGTTAGGAGATGCTGCTTGAGAAAAGAAATCCAAAATGGATTCTATTGTGCAGCTGTATAAAATCTAAGCCACAAAGGTGAAAAATTAGTGTTAAAAAAAACTTATAGCCCTACAGAACAAAGCTGTTGCTTTTCATACTTGGCTGCTCTTTCTGTTCTCAGTGAGATATTGGAAAGGACAGGTTCCCATTCCACCCACAGGGCCCCTTGCACTAGGGAAGCTCTGCTTGGTCCCAAGTCTGTAATCAGCTGTGTAATTACATACAAAGCCTGGTATTTTATATCTAGAGTTCAGTGGCACAGGGATAAAAGCATGACAGTGATGATACAAGCACCTTCAGAACAAACATTGCAAATCCAGATGACTTGGTTAAAAACAAATTACAAAAGAATCCAAATGTCTTTCTCTAAATGTTCAAGATAAACTACCTCATCGTCAACTCCACCACTGATGTAAACATAGAGTAAGTGCCAAATTATGAGCAGTGAATAACAGAATTTTACCTTCTAGATGAGATTTTAGTGAACAGTCGCCACACAAGTATTGCACTACTGGTTTTTGAGAAACCAAGAGAGAAGGTGTCAGCTACTGGCAGTCCTGGGGTTCATTTCTCACCAAGGACAGGTCAGTTATGGAAAACAATAGCAATAACCAACTCTTACAACTCAACCTTAATTTAAATGAAGTCTAATATTATATTAACATAAACACTCTAAAGCGCCTTTTCTACCATTCCTGAGGCCATTTGCAACAAAGACAGAACTCTGCTAAATGTCATAAATAGCTGATATTTACTTAATGCTACTTTATAAATTAATCAACCTTTGGCAAATTATCAGCTCATTCATTCGAGGTTCATGAAATTAAAGCTGTATGTATATGAAGCTATGCCACACTGCCTGGATAAGCCGTAAAGCAGTTTAAAGTAGTGAAGTTCCCCCCACCTTTTTTTTCTTTTTTTTTGGTCTGCTTAAAAAGATTCTACAATAGTGTGAGGAATGCTTAAACAGGGAAAGACATATAACGTGCACATATGCTATAAACAAACTCAAGGAAAGAAAAAAAATGCACATCCAACCACTTGCATTACAAAGACTCCTCAGTTAACTACTCAGATTTCCTGAGAGATCACACTTCCAGTGAGACTTTGCTTCAGTGATTCTCCAGCGATGTTTTTTACAGAACATTACCTTAGAGCCCTTTCTAGTTAAAGCTCTTTTTTGGTGCTTAAGGCACCACTTTGAGGAAATACTGCATGCTTTACATGGATATAGAGATGCAAAGCAAGACTTGAAAAGACAAAAAATAAATGTACCTTTCATAGTAAAATACTCTTCTCCTTCAACAACCTCACAAAACATTTATACTAATCATGGATTATAATACTCTGCTGATGAAAATCAGAGATTAAAAATAACTTTCAAATGTGCATCTATATTCCAAATGTTATTTATTTTGTGTATCTGTTGTATGTTTTGTAGAGGTACGATCACAGCTACTGGAGATCTACCTTTGCATGAACATGTTGGAGTGAGCCATTACACCTCTGACTATTCAGTGAAAATAACGTTATCCAAAACTTCTCAAGGATCCAATATGATAAGCTAACTCCTGAGTCACATATTTATAGAAATTATCTCATGCTAGTAAAAAAGAAATCATAGAGTTCCTGCTTGGGTAATGAAAGCAAACAGATAACATCAGCACGAACCTGTCAACTTCCCTGTTCCCAGTCCCTGCCTACCCTGTATCCACATGCATATGGACAACCTGGAATATTGCAAGGCTCCTACAGAAGGAGGAAAGGAATGTAAATTCTTGCCTGCTTTGCTACAATGCAACTTTATGGCTTGTCCAGAAACTGTTTTCTATAACTTACATTGACACTGGGAATTGGCTAAGTCACATTTTATTCTGTCTTAAATAAAAATTCTCTTTCTCTGGAGTCTCAAACAATAGTAGTTAGGTAGCTTTAATAGGACTGCTGGTGATTACTTCATACAAATTGACACCTATCTTGTAAAAACTGGCACAAAGATGGCTTTATTCAAAATACCTTTATATTCCTATGTGTAAAATAATTCAGGAGAATGCGTTGCAAATGAGTTATTCAAATAGCCACAAAACAAAAGTAAATACTCCTATTTTTAATTTCCTGGAAATGCACTGATATGGGACACACTGGAAGGAATTCTACAAAAGGAAACCACTTACATAGCAAGAAGCATGTATTTAATTAAATGCTTTGCAAAGATACATGAATAAAGCTATGTGCATAACTTTCTTTAGGGATGGCCCCAGCTGTTTATTATTTTTTTTTTAAAAGGAACAAACAAAAAACTTGGAAAGCACAGATGCAATAAAGAAATAAAAACCCCTAAGTTTGTACCCACATACTTTACAAAATAAAGCATGTTAGTGGTACAAAGCATTCTACATACTATATGATCAACAAATAAATGCACTGTAACATTGTTCTCTCAAACACCATAAGCCTAACAGCTAAGCTGTGAAAATGACATTGACAGTAGGTGTCTTTATTTCATCAACCTTCTACAGAGTCATTTAGCACCATCACTTTGTTGTTGTTTTTGCCCTGCCTATCTCCTTTCTCAAAATAACAACAGAAGCATAGCACCTTTTAATATTGAAAACAAAAATAGGATTATTAAATGCATCCCAACTTCCAGAGATGAGGTAGCTCATGCTAAGAAATGATGGAACTTTCTTGCCTTGACAACTCAAGGCCAGTAAGTCAAATTACTGGTGATGCATATCTGGATGACAGCTAAAAACAATTAATTTCTAAACTTTCTCTTTATTAGCAATTGTTCTGGTATACATGTGAATGATTTGCAACATACATAAATTGGCACCATATAAAAGACATCTGTATAATTTGATATGTAATGGCTTCTTAGATGGGCAAGTATTGGAAAATCAACAAGTATTGGGTTTAAGACGTATTTTGAAGATAAGGAAAATTTAATAGAATTACACACATACATTGTGAGAACTGAAGTCTAGCCTTAAAATTTAAGATATGGGACACCCCTGCTGAAAACTCGTATTTACCCCAGTAGTATTTTTACTTCATAAATTAATCATGGGTATGGAATACTCTTCTGAGCAGACTATTACATAGGAAAGTGCAGGAAAGACAATGCCAAATTAAGATGATCTTGTCTGAAGAGATTTACTTCTACAAAAGACATAGATTTCATTAATGACTATCATACTGGCAACCACAGGAAGACAAACTGGGGTTGAGGGAGTAGGTGTCATTGAAATATAGCCAACGGTTCACAAAAGTGCACTATTTTTCTGTTATTCAGTATGCATCCAAACAAAAGAAATAATCCTTAGAGCTTTACATAGTCGCACATTAAATCTATCTATTTTGAATACCTGTAAATTTCAAAATAATTTGAAACAAAAGTAAGGAAAAAGATTCATATTACTTTTAAAAGGTGGTCACTGATACTCTTAAAATTGTACTGTTTTACTAAAAAGTTGGTTTCAATCATATAAAACGGAAGGTTTGTAAGTAAAATAAATATTCAAAAGGAGGCCGGGCATTTAAAAAGAACCGTATATACAACGCTGATCCAATATCAGCCATTACTTCAAGAGTCTCAGGATTTACTTCAATCAGTCTAAGTTCATGTGTTTAATTGCTGCTGTTGCTGGGTAGTGTGTTAATTTCCCCCCTTCCTCTTACACAAAGCAAACTGGCCCAATTTCAATTCCAAATTCCTGGTCGGTACTGCCAATGTCCACCGGTGCAATATCTATGATAGGTAAGCGTGCCACATTCTGCGTTCTATACTCAAAGACAGTCTTGCCCGTGTTCCCATTACGTTTCTGGAGGGGAAAAGAAAAAAAAAAAAAACAAACAGAAAAACTTAGGCCAGAGTTCATGTCAGAAACATCCTGAATTCCAGCTGGCGAGTCAGTTGTCTGATAGTTCAGAAGGATCTCACTGTATCTTCACTGAGCAACACAGGTCCACCTGTACTGCAAATGAGTCATTTTAAAATGTATATATCTTGCTTTTACAGTGATGAACAGACCCATCAGATTGACACAGCAGGATTTCTCCCTTGAATTGGACTGACTTTTCTTTATGTTATGAAATTCTTCTCTGTGCGTTAATATGCGCCTGCACGCATATTCTTGGGCTATATTACTTTAAAGCACAGAGAGTGCTTTATTTCAACTACAAAACTAATTTTAGAAATATTTTCCTAGTATCTTGGACTTGGCTGACAATACTAATGAACATGAGAAATTTTCTACTTGCTGCGTTTTATGCCCACTAAGAATTTTCGGGAGGAACACTTTCCTTTCCAACTCAGTCAATCATAGTACCAATGAGTTTCCTCCAGTGTATTGCTGCAAGAATCTTACCCATCTGACAGACAAATGCTTGAGGTTACCTGACCTCTTTGTGTGATTCCACACAGAGGTACACAAATACTGGGAAATGCAAAATGGCAAGCTATGTATCTCAGTATGCTCACTAATAACTAGAAATTTGTAAATATCTTCTAAATAGCGCAGACTCCTATTATGTGAAGCTAGAATTGTAGTAAAATACCTATTTGATCAGTTACTTTACAATTTATGGTGAAATTCTGCAGTATTTTAATTACCCCATTCTATGGATCTTTTTTTCTAAATCGAGGAAGAACTGAAACCATTAGAAGACAAAAATCCTTTTTCAAAAGGACGAAAACCCCAAACTTACAGAACAACTGTCATGTAAAACAGTGTATCTGAATCGGCTGTTTCCCTCCGCTTTGATCTCCAGGTCATTGGCCCCTTTCAGAATTACAGCTTTTTTCAGGTTCTTAGTCTGGTCATCCATGTACCCAACACTGTTTTTACAAAGATAAGTGATATTCTGGGAAGCTTCCTTTGATAGGAGGCGCAGGAATGTCATCTGAGTGACAGCTGTATCCCCGTACACAAACTGTGAAGATAAAGAAACAGATCAACATGTATTACATGACAATTCATTAAGAGTTCATGGATTTTACAAATACCTGTCAGTATTGTAACCCTTTCCAGACATGACTAGCAGAAGCCCTATTACATAAAATCTAACAATGGTTTCTTTTGTCATTTGCTGCCAGTTGAGGACAAAGAAATGTAGACATCCTGTAACAGGGATCATTTTGGAGAATTCTGACCATAAAGCTCTGCAGCTAAACAACTGAAAGTCAGTTCGGTCTCCACAGACATGCCAAGTTTTGGAATGAATTCTGCCTTCTTTCAAAAAGGGATTCAGCAGAAGCTAAACCTTATGTATGAAATAGTGCGTCAGAGCAACCTCAAACTAGGTAAGAAATGTCAAGCACAGAAAACCCTTTTATAGTGTACCTGCTATATTGCAACTTTAGCAGCTTGTTTTCTAAAGGCTTTGTATTTTATTTAGAAGCATCACAGAGAGTCAGAAAGTTTGACTATATAAAAATAAATATAGATTTGCATATGGACTTTATCAACTAATTAGCTTACACAGAAGTTGAAAAATATTCTACAATGTGCCACTGTTTCTATAAAAAAAAACAAGCAATTTTTCTACCAATAACAAAAATTCCACAGTTCCTGAAATATTTTTCCCTACCTGTGAAGGTTTCATTTTATTCATGCTTAGTGAAACATTGCAAAAAAAAAAAAAAAAAAAAAAGTCACAAATTACTAAAAATGTATACATTTCTCTGAAACTGGTGAAAAAAAAGAAGATCTTATGCACTGACACTGTCATTTTTTACAAAATGTGTTATCTCTGTTTAGCAATCATGGACATATTTAGAATCTGTAAGGAGTGCACAGGACTATTACACAGATCATACTGTTAGTTATCAAATCTGACAGTGTTTTCAAAAATGAAATATTCTTTTACGCTATTCCTGAAGATAATTTCTTCCTCCAAAGAGCATCTGACTTACAAAAACCCTACGTGTAGCTCTGCAGGCAACTAAACGTCAACTGTGACATCTTGGGTCATGGCAAGTTCTCCTGAATTTAATAAGTGAAAGCATCTCAATAAAATCAATCAATATAACATCTGTTCTCAATATCACATCTGTTCTCAATTGCTGACATTCTGAACTGTCATCAGGAATCCAACTGATAACAGCACTATTATTTTTACACACCAAATACTTATTTTAAAGGTATTTAATGACTTCCTATGAAGTAACAATTGAAAGTATTTTCTGTGCTTTTGATTTGATGAACTAGGAATAAAAATGGCAAAAGCTTGTTAATTAATTATACACTTCGCATAGCATAAACTTCTGTTATTTGGCAGGATCATTAAGCCTACTTTTAGAAGTTACCACAGAGGGAAAACTCGATAGAAAGCTAAGAGTGGAATTTTTGTCTGCCCGGAGACGGATGTATTCTGCTTGGAGCATTCTGACACATGTGATAACAATCATGCTTTTTTAAAAAACAGATTAGCTGAGAGGATTTATAAAGTAAGCTTTGCAATTTTTAGCGGTAAAGAGCTTTCTGAAAAAAAGGGTAGAATTCAATTAAAACAGCAGTGATTTAAATCATATATTACTGTAAAGGAACACTTTTTAAGGACAAGGATAGTGAGTAACTGAAGTAGACTGCTAGAGAAGTTGAAGTTTTTGGTATGAAGAGAAATAAATCTCTTCCAGCAATGGTATACTTATAGCAAATCCTGCCTTAGATGCACTTGCATTGTTTCTCCCAGCTCTTTCCTACAATTACTGTATGATAATAACCAATTGAATATAAGCCAGTCAATCAATAGTTGTAATGTTCTGACTGTAGCAAAATCTACTCAGAATAGCAGATGAAGTTCTAAACCAGAAGAAAATACGTTTCATAGAAGTCAGTTCTTGCATTAAACATATTTAGTTACCTGTGATCCTCTGTTCATATCGAGGCCATACCAAATGGGCTTTATGTCAGATGACTTGCTGGCCCACCATGTTTTACGTGGTATAGTAGACGGGTTTGCAGAAATACACGTCTCTCCAGTTTCCATGTTGCAATATACTTTTATAGCATCTTCAACACATCCCTGGTTAGGATCAATCCAATATTCACCTACAAAGAACATAAAATGTGATTCCGTTACATTATTAAGATTTTTGAAATAACTGGGGAGATATAAGCAAAAGTATGTCATGACAGTACAAAACACAAGGAAAACAGGCATATGTTTCGCATAATCTGATGCACGTTTTGATGTGTGCGTCAGGTATACACTACAGTGTTTCTTCAAGATACAAGCTGATCAGTATTTCAAATATTTCAAAACTGGGGAATGCAGACTTGAAAGTTGTTTAAGGTTAAGGCTGTTTAAATCCATTGTAAAGCTCCCGGACACTCCAAGTGCATAAAGAACATACAATGGCTAGAAGACAGTTTTCCCTATATATGAGAAACCAATGGCAGCCCCTTCTAGTGTTGATGTTGGAGGCAAAGTTTCAGGAAACAGAGAAAAAGCTGGTAAGGCCTGCTGCAAATTCTCTACCTTCCGGTCTGTTCTGATTTAGCATTGGTAATCCATATAAATTAGGGAAAGTCCTAAATGGCGCGTTAATGCATTACCATCTGTGAATTGCCACTGTGGAGCAGCAGCAGAGAATTCTGGAACGGAAAGTACTCACAGGTTATCAGCCCACAGGTAATGTTTTGAGCTACTAGCAATTAAGCAAATATTCACAACTGGTGTACCAACCTAGCTCTGTCATCATATAAATGGTACTCCATGGTGAAAACACTTTCAGAAGTAGTGTTCCATGGAAGCATAAAATATTTCAGATTTTGAAATACATCTGAATAAATATTGAATAGATACATGAGATACATTTGAATATATACTTTATTGGCAAGAAGAAGTTTTCAATCTCCTAGTGCAAATGTCAATTTAGACCATCAAAATCTGTATTACACATTTTTTTCCAGTGACCAAGTGTCTACTGGAAATAAGACAGAATCATATGGCACATACAGGAGATGGTGTGTTTATCTTCTTGGATGGGTGGCACAGCTTCAGGTCATCACAAGTCCGTGCTGGGTGTTTCTTTGAACCATCTGGGCTGCGCATAGTCTCAATCTGGCTGCTCAGTGACTTCAGTGTGGCATGGACTCCTGGGTCTGTCTTATTATGGTCATCTGGGACTGCTTCATCTTCAGTAAACTCTGGTAGCGGATCTGCCATAGCATCATCATAGTGTCCCATAATGTCACCAATGGCAGCAGTGAGATGGCCTGGAGGTCCTGGAGGGCCAGGAGGGCCAGGATCACCTGGTGGACCCTAAGGTTTAAAAAAAAAAAAAAAAAAAGGTGACAGAGGCTCAACAGAGTAAATACTATGAAAAATGATAGCAAAGCCAGCCACTAAAAAAGCAAAACTTCATGGCCAGTCACCCTAATTGACAGGGAAAATTCAGATATAGATAAACAATTCACATTTCCAGGAACAGGGGTAAGAGATAAGAACTGCATGTGAGGTATTCTTTCTGCTTCATGCCCTCTCTGCCTGTCTTAATACCTTGCTCAATTTTTTCTTACTCCTGATTTCAGACTTAACAGCTGGAAAAAGTCATGAAGCATTGGCCGCCTCATTCCATGTTTTTAAGCTATCTGTCCCTCCCTGTTCAAATCCCTGCCCAATAACTTTATTTCTTAAAATTTTCACCAGCTGTAAGTGACTTTTAGAGCAATCTAAAATTCCTGCTTCCCCTGAGTCACCTGAGGCACATTTTCAACTAGTAAAGCCTAGATGGAAAATTTGGCACTAGAAATATCTTTACATTTATCCTGCACAGTGCTGAGCTTTCTGGCCACAGGTATGCGAGACAGAATCTACATCATCCTTACTTGGCAGAGCAGGTGTTTTCCTGACTAAGTATGTTTTCCTGAATGACGGGTTGTGAGGTCCTTCTGTCAACGTGAATTGTGACACTTGGGGATGTAACTGAGTCTTGAGACAGAATCTATCTTTTAATAAACATAACTCCACCTGCAGGCTCTGCCAGCTCTTCTTTGGCAGCAGAAAGTCTGTAACATATCCTCATTGTAAGTTTGATGCTCTGGTGCATCAGATGGTATATCAGAACGTGGCATTTCCTTTGAGAGTAATTACTTCAGAATTCACAACTAGCGCTCCAAATGTTTACTACAGAGCACACCCAAACTAATGCATGCTGCATCTGACAAATGAAATCTTAACTTGTATCTAAGATTGTGGTTCCAATTTCCAGTTGCAGCAAGCCACCATGGAAAGCAAAACTAAAGTTACCGGTATGTGATATTTTTTGTACTGTTTCATTACACAGATGAGGGATCTGGATACACATTATATTCTTACGCTCTACCACAGACTATTCGTTCAAGCCACTTGGCAGAAGTGGAGATACCAGTAATTGGCAGAAATTCAAATGCAATAGGATGAATATTAGCACACGATAAACACAGGAAACACCATGTCTTACAAGACAGAAAAAGCAGAAACTGCCTCCTGTGTCTTGCTCATTATTTTGTTCCACTTTTATTCCACCTTTTCCACTTCTTCCCCAAAAATAAGCAACACCAGTCTTTTAATTCTTCACTTGGTCATCCAGATCACCCATTTCTCAAATCCCTTTAATTTTCTAACGTATCTTCCTTGGGATAGCATAACTTACGTTTTATGATGTAGGGTATTGCGAATTGGTAAATGTGGAATATGCCTGGGGGTGTTCAGCAAAAGTTTAGGACTTTTTCCAAAATAGTCAAACTATTTTTCATTAGTTGCAAATCAGCTCATGGTTGACGTCTGTAAACCTCAGATCAGGCTGGAGGTCAGCTGAGCTGAGTGTTAGAGTTTGGGCTGTTCATTTGGACTGAAGGATTTCCTTAATACAAGGCATGATGGAGTATGCTGCTGGCAATCAGTCACATGGCTGTTCTAATTCAGTGCCACCTTTGTGGGACTACTGACTTTGAACTACTGCTAGATCCAGATACACCAACTGACCTATGCTTAGGCCTGAGGTTTTAGGATCCAACTTGCCAAATAGCTACGTTGAACTGCATATCCAGCAGGATCTAGTGAGCTAATTGCAGAAGTAGCCTCAGCTTGGCCTAAGGAGACCATAGGTGGATGAGACTGGAATCGTCACAGGTCCAGAAGATGAAAATGAGTAAGAAATGAGCCCTTTCAATACACAGTTACCCTGGTTATTGGAGAAACTGTGTAAAATCTTAGCATTTGTCTTGAGCTCATGGATGTTTGAGAAAGTGATGCAATGGACTGTAAAAAATCTCATTATTTGAAGGTAACATTTTCCCTCCATATTCCCATTAACTTACCTCAGGTCCAGCTTCTCCTACACTCCCTCTAACACCAGGAGGCCCAACTGGCCCAAGTGGACCGGGACTTCCATCTTTGCCAGAAGGACCAACTGGACCGGGAGGACCCTAGAAAATATAAGAGAAAGAAGGAATGTGTTTTAGCATTTAATAACAAATTTATACAAAACAGCCCTTTACTAGCAATATCTTTTCAGGAAGCAATCCAATTTTTTGTGTCTATTACCAAACTCTAAAAAATCACCCTTCTTCTTCTCTAAAAGTAAGAAGGCAGTTTCAGTGCTGTTCTTCTGAAGTCAATCACCTCAGCCAATATACCTTGGATCAGCTGTATATTTTTTCCTAAACCATGTAAGTGGGTTCAATTTCAGGCGCTACACAGGCTGGAGCAGCTGCTGTACGCGCACATGTATACAGACTCAGAGATACACTGTCACTTGGGAACATCCAAGGGAGTCATACTTCTCCTTTACTTTTGGATGAATGATATACATGGGGGTATGAAAGGCAGAGTAGCAATTAGAAGAGCTTCCACAAAGGTGGCTTTGCATCAGCTGCAGCAAAAGTGTCTGTAAAAAGAGACTGTGGCCCTGTAGTTATTCTGAACTGACCTTTCCATCTAGCTATAACCTACAATTATGTCAAAGCTTTACTATATTAAACAAGGTAACGTCTCTCAACAAAAGATAGTAGGGTAATCACCACATGATGCTGAAGTCAATAAAAGCCAGTGAAATAAAAGTGAAGCAGAAATAGAAATCTGATTGTGGAAAAAAACAAGCAAGAAAAACCTTAAACCTGAAACATTACACTCACCCGAGGACCAAATGGGCCTGGAATGCCAGGACTGCCCTGTTCACCAATAGGACCCTAAACAGAAGAAATGATCGTATTAATGTGACATTTAAAGCATATTCCTTTAGTTTTAAAGAATTAGTGTGTGATATACACAATTCTGTATGAATAGGATTATAATATACATTAACAATGGGTAGTACCTTTCCCTCTTACGATTCATTTTCATTCTATTGTTCTCTTTTGTCACAGAGTAACAACTGTAATCACTATTTAGATTAACAGAATTTACTGGTGCTTGGCTATATATAAAGTTGTTTCTCCAGAAAAGCCTTGCTTTCATGACATTTAGAATCAGATTGACTTACATACTGACAGCACTATTATGAAGTGGAAATATGCTTTGGGTGTTAGGGTTTTTTTGTTGACTCTCTTCCTGCATGTTGAAACTTCCAGCTCTTGCACAGGATCAGTGAATAAATGTAAAAATATTAAGTTTTCCCTGTCATTTCCATTCAATTGCCACTGAAATCATGAAGTTCTTGCAAATATTAGCGAGAGATACTATCACAGTCCTCATGGGATTTTTGCATTTGATTCCTTGACTGTAAATAGAGTTCAAATACTGGCAAAAAGCATTTCACACTCTAATGTGCTTATCTGAAACTATCAATTTTTGTTATCATCTTGTGCTGACAGGTCCCAGTGATTGGTCACTGCAGGACTGGCACAAATGGAGCAAGAATAGGAGAACACATATCTTGCAAAGCACAGGTTTGCCTTATCATGCAACAGTATTGTAAGATTGCATTAAAAATATTAGCAAGTACAGACAGCCAGGCCACTCACAAACACCTTGTGGGGAAAAAAATGACTTTTGGTTTTGTTTGCTTTTTTTTCCATTTTAAATAACATAGGTACATTATTTAACTATCAAGGAAATAAAATTATGATAAAGGCAGAACAACTTACAGGAGGACCAGGAAGACCTTGAAGCCCAGTGAAACCCCTGTGTCCTTTCTGGCCCCGATCGCCTCTATCTCCATTGTCACCTTTGTCACCACGAGGTCCTTGGGGACCCTGTAAATATCAGTGATGAAATGTAAAATTCTGAACTGGAAAAAAAACCCCAACCTCAAAAACCCCTCATTTGCTTTTAGACACTGCATTCAGACCTCTTTCACTTCTAAAGCTAGCAAGAAGGTGATGGTGAGGCAGCTCCAAGAATCTTAATTTTTTTACCAAAGAATAAGTAAATAATTACAGAAAACTGTGTAAGAAAACTTAGTTATAATTATGGTAAATTTAGTCTATTTGGCTTCATAATACAGTCAAAAAAACCCTGTAATAAATATACTAAATAATTTACATAACAAAATTTTTAAGATTGAAAAATTTCTTTGCCTTACTGGATATGGCAAATTATTTTTGTAGATGAGATTGAAATATTGTGGAACTCTCACAGACTCATAATGATAAAACCTATTTTCAGTGTGAAATCCTCCATGTTGCATCTTTACTTCTCACAGCAATTTTCATCTTCACTATGATTAAAGTACAACTGAAGTTACATTCCCTAACTACAGACAACAACGTTCAGGCTTCCCAGCACAAATAGCTTAGTTCTATTACTGTCACAATTTCATTCGTGGTATTTTTGATAGTTCCACACTTTTCATACTAATTCAAGAATCATTGGAAAAAATGGTTTCTGCTTTCAATTCTGTATTTCTCAGCCCAAATTCGTGCTAAATTTCTCAATGCCAGAATCCAAATAGTTTATCAATGGTGTCATTATTACTAACTACTCAATAAACCTTTCCTGTCTTTCACATGTATCTGCTTAGGGACAGGACAACATTCTTTTGAACTTCCCAATTTTGCAATTAATTTTTTGTTCCAAGCTTGGAGTATAAAAGAGTAATGTAACATAAAAGGATGGGTTTTGTTTGTTTTTCCATTTCGATTGAAGTCAGAATCTCCTGACTTGAATAAGGCAGTTTCATGGGAACAGGTGATTTTGCTACATTTCTTCCATTTTTATCTAAAAATCTGCCTTTTTGTTCAGCATTCATTTCTATACCCCTTATTTGAATTGTCAAACACAGATTCCAGCCATTTGCTAACTCAAGTCCTACCATCATCCAGACAGCAACAAGACACTCCAAATAAAGAGGCTTCCAAAGCATTTGTTATTTCTCTGCAAAGTATTTGTAAAGAAAGTGTAGAAATACTAGTGTATTCAAACAGATCTGTACAGCTTTTAGCTCAGAAGACTACCTGCATCCACTTGCAGTCAGAACACTAAAAGTTGAAGCCCTGTTCAGCATTCTAATTTGGGCTCAGTTTCTCCTACCCTTTCCTGTAAAAATTATCTCAGATAAAACCACAGTGACCATGGAGAACTTACAGGCAAACCTCTTTTTCCTGCACGACCTGGGGGACCCATTGGACCTCGAGAACCCTACAAAGATGGCATACAGAAGATATGTGAAGCAATGCACAAAAGCATACACAATAGTTTTTTGATAAACGAAGTATTAAAAAAGAGTCTCACTTACAGTTTCACCTCTTTGACCTGCATCTCCTGGAGGGCCAACAGGGCCTGGAGTTCCTGGACCCCCTGGGGAACCTGGTAAGCCTGCAGGGCCAGGTTCACCACGATCACCCTGCAAAACATAATTTCAACATTACTGATCTAAAGAGGACTGGACTAGACCAAAAGTACATTCAAGGTCAGGTTGGATGGGGCTCTGAGCAACTTGATCTAGTTACAGGTGTCCCTGCTCACTGCAGGGTGGTTGGGCTAGATGACCTCTAAAGGTCCCTTCCAACCCAAAGCATTCTATGATTCTATGAAAAGTAACAAGACTCTAGCATTGCTAATCTATTTTCTAGGAATTACAATCTACAAATAATTCCTTCTGTAAGAACTCAAATCTGAGTTTGTGGAGGCAAGTGTTCTTAGCCAGGTTTCCTCAACTTTGAGAGGTACTACTTATTCAAAGCTGTGATACACTTTCAGAACAAGTTCTTATCATAGAATCATAGAATCATTTAGGTTGGAAAAGACCTTTAAGATCATCCAGTCCAACCATTAACCCACACTACCAAGTCCACACTAAACCAGTCAAGGGTAGACTAGACTAAACCATGTCCCAGAGTGCCACGTCTACCCGTTTTTTGAACACTTCCAGGGATGGTGACTCCACCACCTCTCTGGGCAGCCTGTTCCAATGCTTGACTACCCTTTCCGTGAAGAAATTTTTCCTAATATCCAATCTAAATCTCCCCTGGCGCAGCTTGAGGCCATTTCCTCTTGTCCTATCGCTAACTACTTGGGAGAAGAGACCAACAGCCACCTCACTACACCCTCCTTTCAGGTAGTTGTAGAGAGCAATAAGGTCTCCCCTCAGCCTCCTCTTCTCCAGGTTAAACAACCCCAGTTCCCTCAGCCGCTCCTCATAAGGCCTGTGCTCCAGACCAGCTTCGTTCAAGTTAACTGAATAAAGAGAAAATCTACAATAAGTCAATAATAAAAAGGAGATTTCCAGAAGTGACTTAAGAAAACAATATATTCTTACACGTTCTCCAACAGCTCCATCTCGTCCAGGAGTACCATCATTACCAGCAGGTCCCTAGAGTTATGGAATAAAAATAGGGCTATTGATTAGCTCTGTAATCTTGCATTTCTGTAAGAAAAACTAGAAAGTTGTTCTCCACCTCTAACTTCAAGTCGAGGTGAATAACCACTAGACTGTCCTTTTTTGCATGTTATGAGGCTCTAATACTTACTTCTGGACCAGCTTCACCTACAGGTCCAGTGGCACCTGACTGTCCAATAGGTCCTGGGGGCCCTTTATCACCAGGTGGCCCCGTGGGACCTTGTTTTCCTGGTGTACCCTAAAAAAGATGAGAAATATCACATCAAAATTTTAATCACAAAACAAAGAAAGCACAAAAAACTTGCTGCCTGCAAAACACTCCTCATTAATCCAGTCTGAAGCACCATCAACATTTGTGACTTCCAAAAACTGATAATTAATGAAAGTGTTCTGATAGATTTTGAATATATATTTAATATACTGTGTATTTTTAAGCCATTTAATTGCATTAGTTACTTTTGAATAGTCTTTTATTGACTAGAAGAATTTTATTGACTAGAATTAGTCTGTCTAGTAGCAACTCTCTAAGCACACGCTCCCTTGCTATATCAGTATGTCCAATGGCATTATCTGCAACAGGTAAGGTCTTTTTGGCTCTGGAAAAATGTAATGCAGTATGAAATAAGTAACATGAATTGGGTTGTTTTTTTTTTTGTCGGTCGGTCTGTCTGTCTGTCTCAACACCAACAAATCTTGTTAGCCTAGAATAATTTCTAGCCAACTTTAACTATATGTTGACTTCATGGATCCAATGGTAATGGCAGATACTTCACACTCTCCCTTTTAGTAATACTCTGTTTAATGACTTGATCTCCTGGATCATTAGGCTTTCCAATAAATATCTATAAATCCTACATGAGAGCAAAGAGAGCACAAATGGCCATTTTGAAGATTGTGGTTCACAATTTATGAAATAGCAGTCACAGAGTATTTGCTCACATTCAAGTGACCTTTAGGCACCTAAATGAAGAGTTGGGGGTTATTTTTTCAAGGATCTAGTTTTAAGTCAAATAGGAATATTTTAATCAGAAGTCTTAATGCTATTACCCACTTACTCTTCGTTCAGGTTCAGATCTTCCATTATGGCAGAAACAAAATCTCCCACCTCATGCATGAGATTTAGTCATTTACTATTGCCTCCATATTCACTCCTGCAATTGGAGTTTTCCAACTTTCTCCTCATGTTATGGGGCACTATGGTCTCAATCCCACAAAGACAATGAGAATGCCCAAGCTGGTGGCATATTGACTTGGTCATTACTTACTGCAGGACCCGGCAGCCCTGGCATGCCTCTTTCCCCTCGCTGTCCTGGCATGCCAACAATACCTCTTTGACCAGTAGTTCCTGCTGGACCAGGGGGGCCATCTGGGCCCTGAAATCCACAAAGGATAAAACAATGTTACTATCATTTCAGCAGCAAAAAGTAACAATAAGACCAAGCCTAGAGTTGGTCTAGGGAGAATTAGTAACATCAACCAGGACATACCGGCTGCCCATCTTCCCCTGCATCACCCTTGTCTCCAGGACCACCAGGAGGCCCAGCTGGCCCTCGATCTCCCACACGGCCATGAGAACCAGGATCACCACGAAGACCTGGGGGACCTTCTTTTCCTGGCTCACCAATAGGCCCAGCAGGCCCTGGAGCTCCCTAAGAAGATTAAAACACCTCATTACATTGGACCCTTTTCTGACCAGGACAATTAAATTCTAAGGACTGTGTTTTGATTAACTATAAATATGCATACTCTAAGGAAGGCCTAAAGTGTGAATGAGCTAAGAGCTATTATCATCTCGTTTATGATCAAATAAATGAGATGAAATAAACACCTCATCAAATTATGTCCAAATTCCACCCCCTCCCCTCACAATTTGCAATTCCAAACTCCCTCCTTTAAGACACTCTCTTTTTGTTTCTTTCTTCTTTTTTTTTTTTACCTCAGGTGTACAACTACTGCTAGAAAACTCACCCACCCTTGCCTATTCTTTCCAATATCATCAAGCTAAAATTGATATTCAAACTTTTCATTCATATGGTACAAATTAGTGTTTTAATGGACCTTTGTTCATTTCTCTAATACTTTTAAAATACTTCACATGTATATTACGTTTTCCATAAACTTAATCTTTTGATAAATTCACAATGACTGCAAGTTATATTTCTCATCAAAAAATGTTCATTAAAAGGCATACGAAGAGAGTAACACAGTTCTCTGTGTAGAGCTGAATCCTCACTTCTTGATCCACAGCTAAGTTGTGGGTTTTTTAGAGTTTCTGAAAATGTTTAGACATAAGACATTTTGTGGTTTGGTTTTGTTTTGTTTTTAATTTATTTCAATGGATCTTATGAGTAACTCTACTGATGAGACAGCCCAGCAGAGGCCTCTTCCTTTTCCAAAAACTCTCCTAACTTCAGTCACCACTGAAGAGACAAAAAAGTAAAAAGTACAGGAAGATATAGGTTGTTGTTTTGTTCCTGTAAGAAATTGTCATTAGAGCAGCTTGAACAGCTCAAAGCCTACTTAACCCAGTAAAAAGTCTTGCACTGATTTGGACACACTGACACTGGATCAAGCCCAAGGCTAATGAGTTTTATTTAATGAAGTCCAATGTAAGCATGCAGTCACAGAAGTCAGCACTGACAAACTGTTCTCTTCTATAGCATCAGGCCATAAACACTGCTTCATCTTTCCTGCTTCAGGTTTTCTATGACCAGTTTATAAAACACACCTATTAGGAATATGACAATTGACTTACAGTAGGTCCTGGAGGCCCAACTCTTCCAGCAGATCCTGGAAATCCAGTAGCACCCTAAAAAAAATTTTAATGCCAGCTTTATTGAAAGAAATACAGCACTGTTTACCTCAAATGTTCTCAGCTGAATTAGTGAGCAAATGTTACAATTACAAATTGTGAAAAACAAGCTGAGATAAGGAATGATACACACATTAAATAAAATTTCAGTGTTAGATTATCTGCAGTCAGGTCACAAAAAAGAAAATCTACTTACAGGTGGACCCTGAGTTCCTCTACCACCTTTCAGACCAGGAACACCTGGAGGACCCTAAGAGGAAAGGAGAAAGAGGGGTGACAGTGAACACCCACAACATTTTAAATAAGCAAGATCAGCCTATGCCACTGTTTCTCTGACGAAGTTATTTATACTTACCGGTGGACCAGGAGACCCAGCAAGACCCTGTGGTCCTGGAGATCCAGCATCTCCTTTCTGTCCAGGTTCTCCAGGTTCACCTTTCACACCTGGCTGACCATCAGGGCCCTGTAAGAAATATTTAGAAGAGACATTAGGTCAGAGAATACCAAGTCTTTCCAGCCTAACAAAGTCATTTTGTAGGGAATTTCTAGAAGGCAAAAAATAATAGAAGAACAAATCAGCCCAGAAAACACTGCATTTGCTTACTGGTTCAGTTCAAGAAAACTCTAACAGTTCAGCACAGTCTTTAGAAGACCACAGATAAGATTTTCTGAACAGTCTGTGAAGTCAGTATTTCCGTTTAAAATATTTTCTTATCTAGCTCACATTTTTCTTTCCTTTAGATTCTTTACTTTCCTCAGCAGCTGCTACATACCTAAAAGCAAAAGGGACTGAACAAAGTCTTTTCTAGTCTTTTTGTTCCCACCAAGGGAAGCAGGTGCCTGACTCTTTGTGAAAGGTCTGAAACAGAATATTTAGGCTGTGGGAAAGTTTAGGGTATTCACTGGAAAGCTCACAGACCTTCTACTCGGTCCATCAACTCATTCCAGCCTTCACTACTCATGGAGCAAATCTTTGCTACCTTCAGCAGATGATGCTTTACAACTTGCCTCATTTTAATCTCAAAGGAACAACATAGCATATTCATGAAAATATGAAATCTGGTGAACAATTACATAATCTTATCAACAAAACCACTTCTCAACTGTCTAGGGTATTTACTGGCCCTTTTCTTTACTTGGTATACTGATGGGAAAAAGAAACAGTTCTTTCTGCAACAAAAATGTGCCTCACATCCCAGAATACTGCAGGATTATTCATAATGAAGGAAACTAAGTATGTCAAAGCATGACTAAAGGAAACTCATTAGTGTTACAAAACACATACCGGAGGACCAGCAAAACCAACAGCACCAGTTGGGCCATTTTCTCCTCGGGAACCCTGGTCAAAAAAATAAGAATAATTGTATTTAACAATTGTCTTTCTATGTACAGTATAATTTACGGTTAAATATACAAGACAGCATGTTAACTATTTACTGTCATAAGTGTGATTATACTTTTGCTCTATTAATCAGAATCAAATGATCTTTTAATCACAAAATAAACAATGCTAACTATGATGTTAAGATCTGCCATGTGTTCAAGACTATAAACTTTCAGAATTTAGAGATGGAAGACATGAGCAAGCACTAAAACCGCAGTAGGAGAAATTCTGCTCACAACCACTTCCAGAGATAGCATGACTAGCTGAAGAGCACACACTTTATGCAACCTACCACTCCAATCAGATAGACTGGGAAAAAAAACAGTAGTTCAAAGATGTACTCTTCTACAAGGTCAGAATGGGCTATGAGCTGCTTCAACTGAGCTTTCCACACAACATTTGTTTGGAAAAGAAGGAGCTGAAGACTGCCAAGCTCCAGCACTCCCTAGAGGGGTGGAAGCTGTTCCAGTTTATACTGGAAATAAGATTGTTCTGATTTATGACAGAGACATAATCAATTCCAAGCAGTACAAAGGACGTAGAAGGGCTGAGCCTCTAATTCCCTAATCAAAGTCAACACTTGAAATCACAAATAGATGGAAGATGACAAGAGTTAACATAACTAGATGAACTAAGGTATACCTCTGCGCTTCGTCCATCTAAATATTTGTATGTGTACAGTAGTATCTGGTATGGGCATGCTCTTAAAAACATTTGAACAACTGAAAGTGGTGGCATACTTTCAGGAGTGAGGTAAATGAGAGTAACCCTCTGTAAAGTTTGCCCTAAAACCAGTATAGGTTAGAGGAACAAAATCTGCTAATAGTTTTGCAAGTGCTCAAGACAGAAATACAGACTTTGGCTACAAAGGAAGGGGAAGAAAAAGAGGAAAATATATCAGCAAATGAGACAAATGCCTGGAGTTTGGATTATTGTTAGATATTGTTAACTTATGCCAGGCAAAAACCAAACATCTTTACTCACAGGGTTTCCACGGGAGCCAGGAGGACCAACTAGACCTCGAGGACCTGGTTCACCCTTAAAATGAAATTAAAGGTCATTATTTCCCAAGTAACTTATTTGACGAGTAGCAAAAGTGCCAATAAAGTGTGATAATATTAACGAACTTCAGTAGGGAATGGAATAAGAATCTGCTTACCTTTTCACCAGTGGGACCTGCTGGACCCGTCGGGCCTATTGGACCGGGGAGACCCTTTTTGAACAAATTAAGATGAAAGGAAGTTAAAGAAGTGATGCTTCAAAACAGTTAGTTTAAAACTTCTCATATGTTACTATTTCCATATGCTTTTTTATTCCTTTAAATTCTTTTCCTTTGTCTTTGAAAACTTGTGGGGTCGTCTTTATGTAAACTTGACTTGCATTTCTTCTCCCAGTGACCAAAATCCCACATCTCAAAAGACCTGCTCTTCTTCATTCCCTCTCTCTCTTCACTAACTTCATCTTCTCCTTTATGCAGTGTTTATGAATAAGGCCAATGATAAAAAAAATGCCCTGGCTTTATTTTGCTCTTTCAGGACGAAATTAAGTCATTTCCCCCCCCTTGCACAGAAGCTCTCTTTCTTTTATGCTAATATTTAACCATTTAAATTAATTTTAAAGTGTCCATCATTACTTTTGAAGGTTCATTTATATCGTGCAAACTCCTCAGAAGTGTCCTTTTTCTCTTCATGGGGCAGTTAGGCAAATAGGTTGCAAATTCTCCATCCAAACCCATCAACTCCACATAATGATCCCACAGCACTAACTTATTACCTTCCTGAATATTTAGATATCGCAATAACAATTCCCTTTCATTAGAAGCAGAGTACCACAAACTTGCACCAAGTTTGTCTTGAACAACATTCCCCCTCACACAAAAAAATTGCACTGCAACTTAGTTCAAACTGCAGAGAAATACAAAAAAAGAAGGCATTAACAAAGGATACTGCAACACCATCAATGCTCTAGTGGTATGTAGCAGAGATATCTGCAGATACCTGGCTTTAGAACATGGATGTACATTTAGCTCACCATTACTTTACCTGTTCATTAGTTACTATAAGCTATAAACATGCCTTACAATGATTAAGAACTGTTCTGTATCTTTGAATAATATACCACTAATTCCAGCTCATAGCTGGTAATTTTAAGTTAGTCCTTCTGTATACTAGGGTTTCTCCAAAAACCTTTTCCTCTTTAACTATAAATTTAGTCCAGACAGGATCCTCATCTTCTGAATGTACCTCAGATTTCCAAATGCTAGTACTCCAACTGGTCTGCAAAACCCAAGAATCTCAGGTGTATGTGATTCACGTAAAAAGTAACTCCAATAACTTCTGGGAAGACAATATTGTCAGCGCATACACAGCAAACCCAGTGCATTTGGGATTATTGGACAGTTGGTCTATGCAGAAGAGTGTGTCCAACATGTCTTGAGCAGCCTAGCCATATTATTTATGCACAGGAGATTCAAAGCTTTCAAGAAGTATCAGTGACTTACTGCCCATATGGGGCTTAGTACACTTACAGGAATTTTCACCTGTGAAACTCAGGACAGACTGTGGGCAACGCAATCCAAACAATAAGGAGGCATCTGCCTTAGTCCAAAAGTCAGAGCTGGAAGGTCTGCTTTTTGCCTATTGATCTCTGCCTATTTCTTTTTTCATATTTTTGCTATAGTCAGCTTAGCTGAATCCCAAATCAACACGCTACTTCTGGGAATCCTTTCCGTTGACATCTTAACTCCCATTATTGATGATACAAAACAGAGGCCTTGAACACAAACATCCCAAAACATTGTGCACAGCAGTCTTGAAAAACTTGAAGATTTGGAGGGTACAGGTAATGAGAATAACCATCAACCCATGGTACTGCCAAGTTGAGTAGCGTTTAACTTTATGAGCTGAGTACCTCTAGCACAATAAACAATCTGGTGTGTGAAGAGTACGTCTAAAAAGAGCGATAGATTTACTTACTCTTGCCCCGTCGTTGCCAGCTGTACCTTCAGCTCCTTTCTCACCTATGCCGCCCTATGGAAAATACCCAGAAAGTCTCAGTTATGACACTGAATTTTGAGTAGTTCATACCTTGGAATAATTGCAGTATTAAGAGATACTTAATTAGCATTAAGATTAGTATTAAGATATTAAGAGTCTACTCAGGACAATAGAAATAATCAGACTTACTCTATCACCCTTGGGGCCAGGTGTTCCAGCAATCCCTCTTTCTCCAGGCATACCTTGAAGACCAGGTGGGCCTGGATCACCAGGCGTCCCACTAGGGCCTGGGCTTCCCTGAAGCGAATAAAGAACAAGTTGTTGTCTATTCACCTAAGAAGTATCTTTGCCTCTAGGCTGCAGAACATGCTGTGCCTATGTTGAAGTCTCTGGGGTACAGTTTTAAGTAATAATTTTCCCTTAAATTTGGACTTTATTCATGTCCAAATACTTTTCTTTCCCCATTGTGTTACTCAGGAAGTTCAGCTGCAATACCACTGTCCTTTCAAATACATTAGTAATTACCCAGTGCATATTGGGGATGAGAACAGGCAAAAAAAGAAGCTCGAGCATCTTTCTGCCTTGACCTTGATGCCACATGGGTTTATTAGACAAAGTAGCTGCAGGTAGAAGTTGCCAGGGGCAGACATGCTTTATTTATTTATACTTTGCTTCTCACAGCTCATGTCTATTACAGGTCCCACATTACTAGAGGTACTCCCTACTTGGGGTTACCTTCCTAGGCCTAATTAAAGCAATTGCAAGTGAAAGGCAGGCGTAAAGTTTTCAGCATTTTCTTTTAAGCATTCAAGCCTGCCAAGTGTCTTTGTGTAAACTGACATGGCTCTTAAAACATTGCTAGAGGGTTTTCTGCAGTTCAGAAATGGCTTTGCCTGGTTCTACTGAGAAACACAAAGAATATTTTAAACTTCAGACCTATATAAATTAATACAAAATGTGATTTCTCAAAATTTAAGTAACTTGCAAATTATTAATACTGTTATACTGGAAAAACTTGTATGTCCCCCTAGAACCCTTTCATAAAGAAGAGACCTTTCATGAAAAGATATCCCTTTTATAATAAAAAAGCTCTCTCTTTTATGTTTGTGTGAATTAGCAGAATTATACATTACATCACTGCAACAACACAAATGTCCATTCAGCTTACCTTTGGACCATCAGGACCATGACCTCCAGCCATACCCTTTTCACCCTGGAGTCCTGATGCACCTGGTTCTCCCCTTTCCCCTGGATTGCCACGTTCTCCCTATAAAATGGAAAAAATATTACTTCTTTAGAAGTCAGGGTACAGTTCTGGTAGACAAAATCCTAAACACACCTTAAGTGCAGCACTGCTATTTGAACAAAGAGCCTGTGAACAAATTCTAGGAGAACTGATCAAATAAAAACCAGCTTTCTGCTTTTATTGTTTAAGGTAGGGGAAATAGCATGTTGCTCAGCAAACTAAAGACTGTTATTTCACAGCTGTAAACCAAATAATTTAGCAGCTAGTGCTCAACACCACTTCACGAGCTACGAAACCATTAAAAGTGGTAGGTTTTACAGAAACCATCTTAAAACATATCCATGTTTACAACCATTTTGTTGGGGGGAAAAAAAATCAAATATTCACTTTAGCTGTTAAAGTCCATATTATATATCAACTTTCAACCTCAGAGAACCGTTACGAATGTTTAAACTCTGAAAGAAAATACTTACCCTAGGGCCCAACGGACCAACAGCTCCAGGATCTCCAGGCACACCCTAAGCAGAACAGAACTCACCATTAGAATGAAAGCATTATTCATAGCCTTATAGTTATGGAAATCAGAGATAAACATTTTCATTTCCAAAGTACTGTGAATGTAGGTGGCTAGTTCTGAATATTAGCTGTCCATGACAAGAGGAGATAGTCCAACTCAGTCCAAGAAGATGGTCAGATTCCAGTAATTATTTTTATCCAAAAGCAGTTCTCAGACAGCTTGCAGACCACATCAGTACATATTTTGAAACAGAGTGGGAAATTAAATTACAAAGAGAAGGTAAAACTACTTTATGAAGTGAATTCTTGTTAAATTACACAGAAATTACCTGATCACCTGGCTTTCCTCCCTCACCTGGAGGACCTGGTGGCCCAGGCAAGCCCTGTAAAAAAGTAAATAGAATGGTCACTAACATAATAGAAAGTTATGTAAATCCAGATTTAACTAAGACACCAGGATTATGAATGTAGTATTATACTGAGCACAAGAGTATGCCCTCAGAGATCCCCAAGCAAAATAGTTACATGAGTATTGCACGAAAGTGTTTTCCCCCCTCTAAATAAAATGGCAGCCCTTCTTTAACATTTGGAGGACATATGCATATCAGACCTAAAAATAAAGTTCTTTATAAACAGAGATTGACTTAACTTAATTAATACTTCATTATCAAAACAATTCTTTGGTACATATTTGGAACCTTTTTGGAAAATCTCCAAATTAAAACTGAAAGACAACAAAGGTTTTCTCAAGAGATACAGAGCTGGTATGTAAGCCTTTGCCAGTTCAGTTTAGTGCACAGCTGATGTGAAAGCTAAGTATCACTAACTATACTGAACATCATTGCCTCAGTTCTGAAGTTGTATTTTGTTATACACCACTTGACTGAATTTCTCCAATTAATTTGATAAAGACGTGGCTGTTTATTTTTTCTTTAAAAAAAATGAATGCACATACCTGAAACCCTGTAGGACCTGGAGGGCCTTGTTCTCCTCTCTCTCCTGCCAGACCCTACACAAAAGGAAGTAATAAATATACAGTAGAGGAATATAGGCAGGCTCCACAATTTTTCTTCTCTCTGAATATGTGTATTTTCAATTATGTATTTGTTTATTTTACATTTTTACTTGCCCCAGGTAAGTATACCCCAAGATATACCCTATCTAAAAGATGTAGTAAGATGTATCTTATTTCTTTAAGATCCTCTCCCAGAAATTCTGTGCTGACAGGAAAACACAGTTCCATTGAAACCAAGGCATCTAGGAAAACAAACTATGAGAAAATTTTGCTCCTTGCACTATTTTTTGTAATAGTCAGTAAAAAGAATTAGACTACTAATATATATAGTAATATTGTATTTTTGCAATACAAAATTCCCATTTTTCTAGGAAAATTTTTTCTTCAAATGTTCTTGGGATTTGTTTGAAATCAACAACTGGCATGAAGACAGATAAAAACAGAAGCAGAAAGAGTAATGAATGGATGGAGCAACTGGCAGGCAGGCAGAGTGGTAAAAGTTGACTTACTGGTGGGCCAACAGGACCGGAAGGACCAACTTCACCATCTTTACCAGGAGCCCCCTAAATTAAAATAACACAGGAAGAAGTCTTGTATAGTGGACATATATAACAGAAAAGCATCATTTTCTGTAATCACTGCAAATAACAGTCACACTCACTCTCTGTCCTGGAACACCTGCATTGCCTGCTTCTCCAGGTTTTCCAGGATCACCCTAATTTGCAGAAATAAAAATGACTATTTTTAGATACAGTTTTCATCCATTAAAATATATGCAAGTGTTTAAAGTTAAACAGATCTCAGGTACCAGGTGCCATACTCACACTACTACCCTTTGGCCCCGAAAGGCCCATGCTGCCTGGCTGGCCTCTGATTCCTATTGAACCTGCTGGACCTGGACGTCCATCTTCTCCAGGAGCACCCTACAGAGATAAAGCATTTTCCACATTAAATTATAAATATATGTATTCATATGAACCTATTTACCCCTGGAAAATGTTTGTATATATATAAAAAAAATAACATTAACCTGGTTTGGTGCTACAGATACCAGTCAAAATGTCTTTAAAGCAGACACCTTTAGCTATACTGCTGAGCTTTAGCCATACTGCTGGATCTAACCAAATACTACACAGTTATTATCATTGAGCCATTATGTGCAAATACTTTATTGTTTCCTTAAAGAGACAGTTAGAAAAGATATTTAGTCCAAAATGGTTTAAAAACATTGCAGCAGCTGCTAAACAACAGACACTGCTACACAGACAAAACTAAAGGAACATTATCTGCATTGACTTTGGAGTTGGGAATATAAAGTGAACAGTTAAAAGAGAAGATGAACCTTCAGAAATCAAGAAAACACAAGTTAATAAAAGTAATTTCAGTGAGTTAGGACCTTTGAACTACTGTGGCATTAACTCAAAGGACTAATTTTTGTGTCACTTACCAGGGGGCCAAGTTTTCCTTCAGGGCCTTGAACACCTGGATTTCCTGTCAAACCCTAAAAGCAGGAATAATATTGGCGTTAAGATAGTTCATATAATTCTAGAACAATAGAGAAATGTAAATAAGTCCAAAAGATATGCTCAGTTACTACCATAGTACAAACTTCTCTTCATCCTCATCTTCACTTTACAGCTTCATCCCCCACTGTCTTTGATCTTCCTTTTTCCTATTCTCCCTCTTCTTGCTTTTACATCTCTTGAGCTTCTCACAGGCTCATATTTATTTCTGCCAACATTACCCAGTGATCTCTATCACATCTTGTATTTGCTGTTCCCTTTCTCTCTTTTGTGATATTCCAAATTCTGCTCAAATATTTTTCCTGAAAAAAATCTCTAGATGAGATGCAACACCCAACTATGCAACTTATCAATCACCAATTTAATGAACGCTGGCCTTCAATTAATTTGGCCTTCAATTCATATTACCTGTGGCAACTATGTGCTTTACAAGCACGTTTCCTTCAGTTGCATTAGCTGGTCTCAATCAGAGCTATTTCTCCTTCTTCAAAGACAAATGGAATCTGTGCTTCCCAACATCAGCAGAAAAAAGGACAGGTATTTTGGCCTTTACCCTTTAAGCATCCCCAATGAAACAAGTCTGTCCTTGTATAACAGCTGCTTAATTCTGCAAAGTTCATTATTGCCTTTTGAAAATGAAAAATGCCATGGTTTATAGCTTACTGCTATTAGTTCCTTACCCTTGCACCTGGGAGGCCAGGTTCACCAGGACGTCCAGGATCTCCCTGACCTCCTTTAGGACCAGAAGAACCTGCTGGACCACGCTCTCCTTGGGCACCCTAGAAGACACAAATGGGCTACTAGTTAACACAAAGAACAGCAATAGTAAGAGAAGGTTAAATAAAACAGGTATCTTCTATTAAGGACCTATTTTTTCAAACAGAGTTCCAAATCATTAATATTTTTATTATTATTACCTTTTTTCCCCAAATTACTACTTAAAAGTTGTCTCTTCCATAAAGCAAATTTATATAAGAATTTTAGAATCCCTGTATTTTTACTGAGAAATTAGGAATTTACAGAAACACTAGACAAATACATATGTGAGTCACTTCCCTGGAAGCGTTACAGCAGTTAGGAAAGCCAAAGACAGGTAAGCCCATCTGTTCAAGGGACAAGTCTAGAAAAACTATACCACACACAAAGAAAAGGCAATTTTTCAAATAGTTACCTAATATAGAGCAATACACAAAGCAATATAGTAGTTGAACAGGTCAACATCTCTTACCTATTCACATTTCAGCATGAGGGAGCATTAAGTCAAGGACAAGCAAGCAAAGCTGAACATCACAGGAATTGAAAGTGACTTTTCCCAAAAAATTTTAGTCTCAAAATATTCAGACCTCTTTTTGGCATTTGTCAATTCCTTTTGATCCTGCTTCCAGTGATTCTGAGGATCTGCCTATTTGCCCAGAAGCAGACATTTTTTAATGGAACGCTTTCTTTCTACATATCTGTATGTATGAAAATTTAAAAAATGACCCAATAGAAGATGGACAATTTAATTTCACTTACCTTTGGTCCAGGCAAGCCATCAGAACCTGGAAAACCACGGTTACCAGGAGCACCCTAGGAAAAGCCATAGATATAAGATCACTATCTTAATTTTTACATAACTTATTGCAAATAAAGTATTAGATTTATGGTTTGGGGGTTCAGTTTATTTCCTTACAGCTTTTTTACTTCAATACTTTAAGCTTGGTTTTTTTACCACTTGGAGTGGTAAACATACCAATATTTCATTCATGCATGATGAACAGCTCCTTCTATGTGAACAGCCTCATTGAAAGCAAGATGACCATTTGTACACGGTTAAGCAAAAAATCTGCAATTAGCTCCTCCTATCTCCATCTTTTCTCCTACAATACTATCCTGTGCACTGAATCCACCAATGAAAATCCCAGAGTAAAAAATAACGCACAGTATTAACTACCTTCAGGAAAATAAAGTTTGACTATACCCACAACAAAGCTGTAAGAAAATTCATGTTTAGGTCAAGACATTTTTCAGCTTAGCAGTGCATCTCCCAAGACATATTATTCCTTTGGATTGCTTACCCTCTCTCCAACAGGACCTGGTGGACCTACTGACCCCGGATCACCTCGAGGACCTCTTTTCCCTTCTTCACCTATAGGGCCAATTGGACCCTGGGGACCTTGTGGGCCCTAGTGAAAGTAAAATATTTTTAAAAATATCATTGTTAAGCTCACCATTTCTCAAGTATACTGAAATAGACTGTCTTCTAAACATCATAAACATTTTTCCAAATAAAGGAGAAAAAAAAAGAGTTAGGTTTTGAATCAGTTGAAAAATGCAGCTTTTCAGCATCAGCTTTTCTATTCTATAATGTTTATAAGCTAATATTTCAGTAGGAAGTGAAATGACTGCAACTCTGCAGAATCACTTTTCTTCCAAAATTCACATGGTTACAGCATGGAATTAGCCATGCTCTCAAATAATCTTTCAGAAATATTAGCTGTGGGCTAAAAAGCTATTCATACCATAAATCTATAAATATTTTTATTCTTTTAATGTATAAATA